GCTAAAGATTATCATTCAGTTTAATAACATTTTGAAAAACTAAATTATTTTGGAACCGTCATATGTTCAAGTTGCTCAAATGTCAGTGATCAATTTATAGTACATGTGCATATTTGAATTTTGATAAACATATAACAGTTACTATACAAAGTCAAAAGTTTGTCCCATTTTTAGTAGTTTGAACTTATATATACACATTTGTTACACATTAAAAGGTAACATTTTTACACTGTAGGTTAACATATCATATGTATTTTAGTTTAAAAAAAAAGACTTCAATTGGCAATAGCAGGTGAATTTTGAAATATGTAGTAAGAATATATGGTACATGTACAAGTATGTGTGTACTCCTGCTGTCAAATGTTGATGCAAATAAAGATATCAATGAATTAGCTAATACAGATAGTAATCTTTTTATTTGCTCTGAAGAGATGACATGCACAATCATAAAACATGTGACAAAAACTTTCACTTCAGGATTCAAACCTAATACATTTAATCTAGCATCTAAGTAATCTACATTATCTGACCCCCAATATTTTAATGTTGGCCCTGTAAGTCACAAATTTTAAGCTGCAGATCTGTAGCTATCCGAAAAAATATATATTGATAGACCGGTCTATCAATATATATTTTTTCTGATATCTACAGATCTGCAGCTACACATTTTTGCCCAGCAAGTCATTATTTTACTCTTAAAACTGTATCATACTGTGAGGATCAGTAGCTAGCTTTCTCCTGAATGTAACATACAGTCAAACTTAATATCTCAAACTCCATGGGTCCAAGAAAAACTTCCAAATATCAGAGGGACTTCAAAATTATTTCTCAAATTAATTTGGCAGTCTGACGTGTTTGATCTCTGGTGGCTGAAATATAATGAGATAGCTTAACTGGTAGAGCACCTGACCATTCTAGAGATTCAGGAGGTCCAGCTAGGTTTCAATTATGTTCTGGTCTGCTGCCTGGCTTCTCACAGTCACTTGTTACATTTGGTACTATGACCAGGATATGTGACAGATGAAAGACTTGCCGGGAAAGAGTCTGTGTTGATGTGATTGTCTTAGGGGGCTGAAACGTACTTTCAAGGAGGGAGGAATTGTGTTGGTCAGACAGGTTTCATCTCCTTGCTCTGCCCTTTACTAAAGTCTCTTAACGGTTTAACAATAACCTATCGATATGTCAGTGTATTTTTTTTTTAATTTTTTTTTACAAATATTCAATGATTCAGAATATTATTAAACTGTAATATATTACAGAATTAAAAAAAAAAAAAACAGACCAAAGTAGCTGTGATATTACAAACATGACTAATGAACACTCACAAATTTCTTAAAAAAAAAAAAACATTATTTCACACGTGTATGATTATTTCAGAGTGATAATTTTGAGAAAAATCTTTGTAGAAATATTTTATTGAATGTGGGCGTGTCATATGAATTGATAAACAAACGCACGTGTTAATGTCACTGTAAACATCCGGGTACTTTGGGAATGTTGTTTAGGATACAGTAATGGCGGCCGGGGACGACTCGGAGATTCCTGGTAAGTCTAAACATGTCCAGCAGGCGACAAACTGAGCTTCTGGTGCCGCCAGGGGTGGTGATAAAGAATCTGATGGCAGGGAACGACATCAATACGCGCCAAATCTCACGCACATAGTCACTAAATGGTTATAAAGGCGTGTAGTGCGAATTTACGAGCTGAGACAGGGAGGGGGGATGGGCAAACCGCGGTAAAATGACAACATGCTTAACATGTGTGCATTTCGAAATTTGGAAAGGAACTAACTAAGAAATTTCATTTTATATGCTTCTCATCCCATATGCTCTGAAAACTCTTTTTCTGTAAAGCCCAGAATGCACCCCTCAATTTAAAAGAAAAAGGGGGGAGGCGGTATGCACAAAAGGTTGGAAAGGGCCTTTTCTTAAACTATACATTCTCATAGCGATTGGACATCAGTTAATTTTCAGTTGAAATCAGTTACTGCTTAACACTGTAATGGTTTGGGCCATGGATATCACCCTTGATAGCTCAGTTGTTAGATCACCTGTCTGGAGATACAGGGGTCCTGGGTTCGATTCGCGGTTCAGTCATACATTTTCTTCTTTCCTGTTACAGCACGGATATCATAGATTTTGTTTCATGCTTTCTTAATATGCACCTTTTGGTTCTTAATCACTTCCCTTTGTGTTAGTTGACTAGTACATAGTAGTATGGCATTTTTTTAAAAGAAGAGATAAATTTTAAACCAGTAATCATGGTAATGGATAATATCAGAATGTATTTTTTATTAAAAGTATATGTTTCCAATGATAGATTATAAAAAATTATAATAGATCATCGGAATTGGTAGCATTTTTTTTTTAGGCAATCAATGTTTTCTGATTATCACTACCACATTACTTTCTATTATGAGAGAGAGAGAGAAAGTTTAATATCTTATCCAACAGGCAATTAACAATACTTATTAAAACAAAACTGTCAACTGCACCTTAGTACTATATGTTTGAGATAATTTTTTGTTAGTTTTTTTTCATATAATCTTTTTATTTTCATTGTGAGCAGAGTCGGGAGCTGTCTTCACGTTCGGGAAGAGTCGATTTGCGGACAACTTACCAAACAAATTCTGGGTGAGAGGGGATAAAGTGAAGTCTGTAGCATGTGGGGACGAACATACAGCACTGATTGCAGGTAAAATAGGTCTATTAATTGGCTCTCCTAGCCCCTGTATTTAATTGAATATGAATAATTAATATAATATATCAATAAGGAAAAGAATTCATTCTTTCTAAAGAAGACTTTGTAGTTATTTGACCTCTAGATGAAAAATAAGAAATACACACTGTTGCCAATCTTATAATGCCTGACTCTGAGGTAAATGACCCCTGGTGGTTTTTTTTTTCTTTTTTCAGAGAGTGGCCGGGTTTTCACATTTGGGGTCAATGACTGGGGTCAACTGGGCATTGATTCCGTCAAAGTCTCCACAAAACCAGTCTGTGTGAAAAGTAAGACTATTTACTAGTTTGTCTCAAAGTAACTTAGTCAGGACTCTTTGTGCTTGGAACACATAAAGGCCTGCTACATGTATAGGGCCCAGTGTCACCACCATCTCCGGCTGTCAGCTGACATATGCTGCAGCATATTCCAAGTCCATTCCTGAGGCCTGTTCAACAGTGAGAGCAAATGTTTGCTCTTGCTTGCAGAATTCCTTATACCTCCTATAGAAATGTTTATGAGTGCTTGCTCAGTTGAACAGTCCTCTGGTTTCTGTTGTATCTTAAATTAATAATATTCACCACCATTCCTACCCTTTCAACTGATTTAACATTTACTACAAGATTGTTATTGAAAGTTAACCATGTTACAACTGTAATTGTTGAAGAGGACTGTTCTATAAGTACACCATATTCTCAAGCAGAGTAAAACCATTACAGTTTATGATATTTTCTTCTGTTTTCAGAACTTAAACCAGAGAAAGCTACTGTGGTAGCCTGTGGGAGAATACACACTCTAGTAGCGACAGGTCTGTTGTTGTAAAAGCTTAATATGTTGTTTAGATTTATCTTTGTAATAGAAACACTAACATGAGTACTTTTCCTACTTATCCATATCTCTACCTTGAGTAAAATATGCTTGTAAATCAAATATATGACTGTGTTAAGGTGGCTCATTACATCCACAGTTTATTTTAGATTTCAATACAGCACCACTTATAATGTAGATGTCAAATATCCAGATGGGGGTATTGATATCATAAATATTTTTAATAGAATTTTTTAGTTTTTGTTTTATTTTAGTGAAATGTTTTATTTCAGGTTTATTATTCACAGAATTTCAGAACTTTCAGTGTCAAATGATGGGCATCTTCTTAAGACAAGTACACAAAGTGAAAATATCTCATAATACCTAATAATAATTTTATTAGAAAAAAAATGTTCTCATAGAAAACAATTAATGTCATTATCTTTTTAATATATGCATAAAACGTTTAAAAAATGTGTTCTGAAGAGACAAGGAATGTATTTCAATGAATTACATGTGTCAAATTGAATGAAGAATGTTTAAACAAAATGAAAAATCCAATTTGAAAAATATTTGGTATAAAAAGTCCACTTTCAAGAGTTATCTTTCCTAATTAGCCAAGACTCAAAACACTATGGAACGTTTGACATTACATCTGAAATTCATAATAAAGCTTTAAATTGCCAGAGTATACATTTAAATCAATAAAACAAATATATAAATTAACACCAACACAGTAAATAGCGCAATTAAATAAAATTTTAATTTCAACAAGGTTGTATATTCTAAGTCGAATTTCCTCCATACATACATGTCAGTGATTGATAGAGTTCACTGCATGCATGGCTATGACATTGACATTTACTGTTTGGCGAAGATTTGACTCTTGCTTTCTTTTGTTTCTGCCTAAAAGCAATTCTTCTTGATTTATGCATAATGAATCCGTTACTTTGTTTTCACTGTTTACAACACGTTGAACACCGCATGTTTTATATCTATTTTTAAAGCGTTTTAAAGGTCAGGGTCATATTATTGAGGTACCTACACTACTCGCTCCCTGAGGTTTGTTTTTTTTGTGTAGTACGTCATCAAAAAGTGGTGTAATGAGCCTCCTTAAGTAATTGTCAGATATTATATTTGTTGGGATGCATTTAGAAACAGATAAATAAAACATACTCATTACTACTTAAGTAAAACGTGCAATCACTTATTCAGGCAGAATGTTCAGCCTTTTTAAGCTGCCGCCCACATTGACACACATTTTATTTGTCAGAGACCAGAAGTTTTATAGTTTCAAATTTTGTTCCAGAGTCGGGGAGTCTGTATACATTTGGTGCTAACGGTGACGGACAGCTGGGTGTAGAGGATATTCCCAGCAGTAACTCCCCGATCAAAGTTGACTGCGAGCCGCGACAATACAAGGCGCTAGCCGCAGGGGCAGACCACTCCGTGGCTCTCACAGGTTTGTAGTAAGGGCAGACAACTGCTGTTCCCATAGGCTAGTGCAAGCTTTCACAATAATAGCATTATTTGTTGAAGGTTATCCTTTACAATTATGAATCAGTATTTGTCATATGGAGCGTTTATTTCCAGGGTTTGATAGAGTCTTTTATAATTTAATGCAGATCTTAGATAAGGGGATAGAATGTTATAATCACGATAATGTTGAATGATGTTTTATTGTATACAGGAAAAAATTTGCCCATGTTTTATTTTCACCCCATACGTCCTAACCTCAGTCACCTGAGTTTAAAAGGAGCAAAATCAATTGGTGAAATTGTTTGCAAGAATGAAAAGGCAAAAATAAAGCAGGACGAAAATAATGCTGTATACAGTATTTGATAGACCTGTATGTTTGGGAGAGTGAGTTATGGTGAGTTGATTGTGTTGTTTATTTCAGAGGATGGAGACCTATATGTTTGGGGAGGGGGTTGTGAGGGACAGCTTGGTTTGGGAGACACAGATGATTATTCCAAACCCACGCTACTCAAGACAGACAACAAAGTCATCAGTGTAGCCTGTGGCTACTACCACACGGCTATTGTCACAGGTAAGAAACAATAGAGATATCTCTACTGCCAGGATCTAGGTCATTGTCACAGGTGAGAAACATCTTTATTTCCAGGATCTAAGTGTGAAGTAAAATTTAGTTAATTAAGTTTATGATTATGTTAGTATTTAATTTTTTTTGTTAAGATTTATTTATCATAGTGATAAAGCTCTATCTTAATGCTTTGAATTCAGTTGATGATAGAAACAGATTCTGAAGTAAGGTTTATAAATTAGGACTGAAAAAAGAATAATGCTCTCCTTGTTTTCTATGCTGGTGAAAAATTCTTTCATAAATAATACATTACATTGTAGACAATGGTGAAGTTTTTACTTTTGGAGAGAGTGATGGAGGGAAACTGGGACTAGGGGACGAATCTGAGAAAGCACACACACCTCGGAAAGTGGACATCCCAGAAAGGGCCAAGTCTGTGGCATGTGGAGGGTCACATACAGTAGTATTAACAGGTAATTAGACACCCCAGAAAAGCCAAGTCTGTGGCATGTGGAGGGTCACATACAGTAGTATTAACAGGTAATTAGACACCCCAGAAAAGCCAAGTCTGTGGCGTGTGGAGGGTCGCATACAGTAGTATTAACAGGTAATTAGACATCCCAGAAAAGCCAAGTCTGTGGCATGTGGAGGGTCACATACAGTAGTATTGACAGGTAATTAGACACCCCAGAAAAAGCCAAGTCTGTGGCATGTGGGGGGTCACATACCGTAGTATTAACAGGTAATTAGACACCCCAGAAAAGCCAAGTCTGTGGCGTGTGGAGGATCACATACAGTAGTATTAACAGGTAATTAGACACCCCAGAAAAAGCCAAGTCTGTGGCATGTGGAGGGTCACATACAGTAGTATTGACAGGTAATTAGACACCCCAGAAAAAGCCAAGTCTGTGGCGTGTGGAGGGTCACATACAGTAGTATTAACAGGTAATTAGACACCCCAGAAAAGCCAAGTCTGTGGCATGTGGAGGGTCACATACAGTAGTATTAACAGGTAATTAGACACCCCAGAAAAGCCAAGTCTGTGGCATGTGGAGGGTCACATACAGTAGTATTAACAGGTAATTAGACACCCCAGAAAAGCCAAGTCTGTGGCATGTGGAGGGTCACATACAGTAGTATTAACAGGTAATTAGACACCCCAGAAAAAGCCAAGTCTGTGGCATGTGGAGGGTCACATACAGTTGTATTGACAGGTAATTAGACACACCAGAAAAATAACCAAGTCTGTAGCCTGTGGAGGGTCACATAGAGTATTATTGACAGGTAATTAGACAATCCAGAAAAACCAAGTCTGTAGCATGTGGGGGGTCACATACTGTAGTACTGACAGGTAAATTCCATCATTAAAGATATATTTGTTTGATGTACTCCTACCCTCATTTTTCAAGGTTGGTAGGTAGGTAATTTTTTTTCTTTCTTTACAACACTGGACAAAATGATAACTGTTACAGACATAAAAATCACAGACTCAGCAATTTATTTATGTCTGCTTTATACACTAGATAGCTATAAAGATTTATTTATTGCTTTATAAAATTCAATCAAAAACATTCTAGAGAAATTATACTATTGAAAATGGAAAAAAAAATCAAAATGCTGTAAAAATGATTGGGTGGGGACGATTAGTCAGGCCGGTCTGAATACATTAAACAAATATTTTTTTATTGACAGCCAAGTTATACATGCCAAAAAGCCAAGTCTGTAGCATGTGTGTGTGTTGGAAGGGGGGGGGTTCACATGTAGTTTGTTCACTTACAAGTATTAACATTATCTTTTTGAAAAACATTTGAAGGAAATGAAGTGGTATGGTCACATACAGAAGTACTTACATAAGACTTAGAGTTATATCAGTATTGATCATGATGATTAAGATTCTAAATTAATGGGTGATGACTACCCATGTTATCCATGAAAAATGAACCCTCACAAAGTACAGATAAATTCATTATCGCTGAGCATTTTATTTATTGTCTGGTATTATCTTTCAGAGTGTGGCAAGGTTTACACCTTTGGAGAGGGCAGTAATGGACAGTTAGGGAACGGGACCAGAATGTTTGTGTCCCCATCACCGATCTGTCTCAATATCAAGTTCAAGGTCACTCAGATAGCTGCCGGGGAAAACCACACAGCCTTAATAACAGGTACTAAAACAATGATCTGAGTACTGCTATGAGGCATCAGCTTTGGTTTTATGTTAGTCAGAGTTGAACTGGATTATTTTGTCTCCTTGCCAGTATGAATGACTGGCTATCTGCCATGAAAAAGAGTTTCAACAACTCAAGAAATAAGCCAAAAATTGAGAATTTTTTTCATCTTAGATGGTTATTTTTTATTTAAACCTTTTAAAAACATGTAGGTTATATAATTATATTATAAAGAAGATAAAGGTGGAGTTTATAACATGAAATGTTTGGTCCATTATCTGTGCATGGTGGTTATAAGATTTGATTTATTGTCACAGAGAAGGGGCAGTTGTACACTTTTGGGGATGGTCGCCACGGAAAACTGGGCCTCAGTCAAGACAGCTACTCTAACCAGTACTACCCGAGTAAATCCGAGCGCTTCAGCAAGTTCATTGTCACTCAGGTATACAACAGATAAAATTATATTGTCATAGGAAACATGATAAGTAGCTTAATTAAGGCTTGATAATTTCAACGAGAGATATTATTGAACATTTTATTGTATAAGAAATAAAGATTGAGATGAGAGAAGTATTAAAGTTTAGATTTAGATTTCCAGGTTAATTCATTATATCCATGGTGTTTAAATTATCTAAGTTTTCCAATCTGTACGATGTATTTCTGCTTAGTAGTCATGTTGCAATAAGTAAAGTTACAATTATTAAATAATTATATAACCAATGAATTATTTTTAAAAAATGAGGGTTAAATTTGGAGGGAAAAATTTAAGACATTACAAAAGACTTGCTTTCATTGACCTACTTTTACCATGCAGAAATAGAGAAAAATGACAAGCCTAGAGTGTTCTATTGATTTTTATAGGTGTCATGTGGAGGATGTCACATGATCGTGTCAGCACACATGCGTCTTCAGAATGGTGACATAAACAGCGAGTCAGAGGAAGAAGAGGATGAGAATGAGAACCTGAACAAAACCAACCTCAATCACTCCATCAAGGCCGACGGATCTGTGGATTTAGGAGGAAGCTTTGGGGCCCGGGACCGACGACGTCAGGAATCCATTAAACGGGTAAATAATATAATCCTGTCTCTGTTTTCTTGATTTTCTTAATTAAATGTTTTTCTAGGCCACCTTAATAAGAGATTTTAGCTTCACAGTTTTAGCTTTTTGGACTGAAACAATTTGAAGCAATTTTGGCTTGTATATGCCAAATTTTCAGATTTAGGAAAAAAAATGAAAGTGTTGATTTAGCTCTATCAAAATTCATTTTTCTTTACAGGCACCATCATTAAACCGAACTCTCCCAGCACTCACTAACAACGCAAAAAATGTGGGCTCTCTAAGCGCAACCCATCCCCCAAAGCCATCACCCCTGGCAAAACGACCCCTACCACAGGCAGCTAAACCAGGTCCGATAGCTTATTTTATGCCAATTTTCTCAGATTTTAATTAAGAATGTCCCAGGTAGTTCCCCATATAGACCATTTTTCATGCAGCTATTTGTTCTTCTTCAGAAGTGAAGAAGGCAGAATCTGAAGAAGAATCAGAAGAAGAATCTGAGGAAAGTGAAGAGGAGGAGGCAGACGCCGCAAAGCTCAACCATGAACAAAAGTCAGAGGTAGGTCAGGGGTCAAAAGTCAGGTGTAGGTCAGGGGTTAAAGTTCAGACATTGGTCATGTACTAAAATCAGAGGTTGGTCAGGCTCAAATGTCAGAGGTAGGTCATGAACAAAGGTCAAAAGTCAAAGGTTAGTCATGTACTGAGGTTAGAGGTCTGTCAGGGGTCAAAAGTCAGAGGTTGGTAATGTACAGAAGTCAGAAGTTGATCATGAACAGAAGTCAGAAGTAGGTCACCTGGCTCAAAAGTCAGTCTCGGTGTACAAATAAAGAGGAAAGTTATGGTGTTCAAAGTTTTTCTTTTAGTGGTGGTCAAAAATCAATCAAAATTTCCCATACAGGAATCAAGATTATTTTGTTGACTCAGGGATTTTAAATACACTGAGGTCTGAGTTACATACAGGTCTTGCAATGATTATCAATGTTTCTCCATATGAAATATCAGGTCTCATTATGGCATCAGAAACCAGCTTCACGGTGGGTAATTAAGATTTTACTGCAGATCAGGGGGCACTAGATAATTTGCAGTAAGGTACTTTTGGGAATAAGGAATGACATGGGTAATGTATGGGTAAGAAACAAGTTATGAAGTAATTGATAATGGAGTATAATAATTCTGAATGGACAGAATTATGATGTTTAATTAGTCAATATTTTAGCTGAAGAAATTCAGAGAGTGCAACTTTACTAACTTAAAGTTTGATGATTGCAAAATATTTTCAAAGAGATTTTTCAACATATTTGGACGTTTGAAGCTGTCAGTAAGACTATGCAAATGTTTTTTTCTTTGATACTTTAGACTGAAAGTGAAAGTAAGCCAGTTCCAAAGCCAAGACCATTACCACGTAAACATGGAGAGGTAAATATAATGAATGATGTTGACCTACATGAGTCAATTTAGCATGACAAGTTTGGAATGTATTAGGCTAGTTATTATAGACAGCATGCATGTTAAATAGATGTGACTGTCCATAAAATGCTGAAACATGAAAATACCAAAAACAAATAAAAATCAAAGGGAGAAAATACAAAGATAAATGTAAAATCTATGCCCTGAAAAACAAATAAGAAAAAAACATGGTAAACGTTAAAGCAATCACTTAGAGAGAATGAGGTTTAATTCCCAAGTAAAAACATATAATAAACTTTGAAGAAATGATGTTTAACTAATTACTGCTGTCTGGTTCTAAAGGGTTCTGATAGAAGGACAGTTAGACTGTCAATCTTCTGTTACAAGTAGAAACATAGAGGCTAGTAACATTTTATAGGACGATGAAGAGGAAACAAAGTCTATAGATTCAGAGAAAGAAAAGGAGGTCGAAAAATCAGAAACAAAGTCTGCTGAAGAGAAGAAAGAGGAAACTGAAGAGGTGAAGAAGGAGTCGGGGGAAAGTGAAGAGGAGAGTGAGGAAGAAGAGAAGAAGCCAGAGATTAGCCAATCAGAAGCACCTGCAACTGAAACTAGCCAATCAGAATCTCCGGCAGTCGATGCCAACCAATCAGCAATAGAGACTAAAGAATCTGTTAGTTCATTGGTAGATTTTCACTCCATTAGTGTGTTTGTGTGGCTCTTAATATTCTGCCTGTTTTTCTTCCTGTCTTTCGATGGAGTTCTTAATTCTTTTTCATCAACTTTTCTTTTATTCCTGTAATTTTCTCACAATTATTTATCAGTTTCATTACCAGAATTATCACTTCTGATCTTTTTAATCTTGGTGTGGATATTTCACTGTTTCTTAACTACTGACACTTTTATTTGGTTGGTGAAATCTTTTGTTGATTAGATTAAGTCTGGAATATCTATCAATACTTTCATTAGTTAACATTGTATTGAACACTAACTTTAGTTTCTTGATTAACTTTCAACACATGGACAATAAACAGATTTTTTCCTAGATGCTTCTTACACATAGTGAAATTTTTATTTTATTTCAGTTTTGCACTTTAATATACATGTTTTTCTTTAATTAAATGTAAAAATATGATTAAGAAGTATCTGGTACGTTTTATGTTAGGTATTCTGATTGAAAAGGAATATATTGACATGCACTCTTGGTTAAATGACAAAACAATACTACTTTCAAAAATAACTCTATTTATTATATAGCTAATAAATAGTCTCTAATAAAATACTACCTAAATTCTAGAGAATTTTAGCGTTGAATATCTTGACGTTTTATTGAACGCTAACTTTGTATTGCGTATATGAGTATGCCCGAAACATTCCAAATACGAGCGTTCAATATCGAACGCCCCGTTGTAAACAAAAAAAGTCGTCTGGTCAAATTCTCAGAGCTAAATTGAAGAAAAGAAGTCGCATCTAGGTAAGATGTGTTTATTTTTTCACACTAAAATAAATTAATTCATTGGAATAAAGTAAGTATTAGACCCATTAAAACCTAAATAAGCAAATCATATCACTCGGTAGGGTCATTGGAATGATGCGATATTGAACGCTAACAGGACAAACGTTAATATGAATACTGATACTAAAGAAATCATTAAATTGAGGGTTTTTTTGTTGGAATAATTATTATGAATTATGTGGAAATGTTTTAGCTATATAATAAAGGAGTTATTGAACTTATATTGGTGAATATTGGCACTCGTAGGCCGTTCAAATGCACTCGCAAGCTCGTGCATTTGAACAGCCAACTCGTGCCAATATTGACCAATATAAGTTCAATAACCCTATAATACAGTGGGTGTTTTTGCAATTCAGGAAATCACAATCTGCATTCTTGTTGAACATTAACTCTGCTTATCTCATTGTACTTTGTGTTTTTAATCTATCACACAACACTACAGTTTAGAACCTCAGTAAATTATAATCAGTAATCCTGTACAATATTTACACTACTTTTTTCCTTGTGATTTGAGTTGCCATATAATCACACAACATTGCAGAAGGCTCTAGAGTAATTTGTATTTAGAAGTGTTAGTCAAACCAGTCTTCTTAATTTTTATCTTCATCCAAAATTAACATAATTTGACATCATGTTATATTTTTATTAGCTAAAGCAAATTATTCCAAGAAACATTTAAACATAATGAGCATTGATGGAACTCATTGAAGGAGATCTAAAATAAATTTGATTTGATTAGAATTGATTAACTGAGTGTAGTGATATTAATCTTGCTTTGTATTGTATGATTATTTTAATTATCCATTTTGATCGTTTAGAATAGATGTAGTTTAGGTGATTAGATAAGTTCCTGAAAATTTCAATGTTCAAGGATTATTTTGTGAATAACCAAAAAATATTTTATAGCACATTTTACATGTAGGAATGATTTTGAAGTAAAATATTTATCAACACATAGAATCTTACAAGTGAATCGAATTTATGTATTGCTCTATACAATTATACATGTATTAAAAGAATTTTAGTATAAATTTATTTATTTATACATATAGCAATTATTGAAATATGCATATCTTATTTGACTTCACAGAAAAAAGAGGAAGAAGAGAGTGAGGAGGAGGAGGAGGAAGAAGAGCCTGTCAAAGAAACCACAAAGACTGCCTCCAGGGTAAGTCAGCCAATCAGAAGTCTGAATATTCCAAATCAGCCAATCAAAAGTCTGGAAAATAAATCAAGACAGCCAGTCAGAATTCTGAGTCACACATCAGCCAAATGAATCAAAGTACTGTAAGAAAAATACAATTGGCAAATCAGAATTTTAAATGCATCTAGTCAGCCAGTCAGAAATGTGAATACCTCAAGTTAGACGATCATTCAGTCAGTGAATGTATAAATATAAAAAAAAAAAACCTACACACAAGCCAATCGAAAACTGGAAAACTAAGTCAAATAATAGAAATTTTTTAAATCTTCTTAAAAAAAGTAAGTCAATGATAAATTTTAAAGCTATTTTCCAACCATTTACAGACCATAGTCTGTTTAAAAAGGAATTTTCTCAGTCAGCTGCAAGTAATTAATAAATGTTACCCCCTCCATCAACTTAAGTTAAAATATTCCATTTGAACAAAGATCCAGGACTGAAACTTTGTAAAAAGCAAACAGATTAGAGAAAATATGTAATTGCTTCCTCACTTGTAACAAAAACTGAATTGTTTTTATGGCACTCTTATTCTTTCATGTAATGCTAGTTATACACATTATATCAGTTGTTCAGTAAACAAAGAAATCTCTAACTACAGCCAAACTCGGTCACAACGAAGTCACTGGAACCTATGAAATTACTCTGCTTTATCCGTAGTTCATTATAACCATAAAAAAATCATTAAATCGATATAGGTGGGGATCCAAGATGACCTCACTATATCCACAAATTCACATTATTCGTGTTCGAACTAAACAAGTTTTATTGTATTGTCTTTTTTTTAAATAGGCTATGCCTGAGCTTCCCGTTCCAAAACCCAGAGCAACCAAGACAACGGAGAGTGAAGAGGAAGAAGAAGAGGAGGAAGAGAAAGGAAAGAAGAAGGACAAAGAGAAGAAGAAAGACAAGAAAAAAGGTAACACTGTTCAGCACACTCAGTATGAGGGTTCTCGTTCAATAGGTTCAGGTCTTTTTCTTGGTATTTCTTGGAAAAATGTGGATTAAATTTGAAATTCATAATCATGTACAGGTGCCTATGGAAAGAGATCAATGATTGTGATTTTTTTTACTAGGCAAGAAAGATTTAAAAGTGTTTGGTAAGGTGTCCACGGGACTGTCTGATGAGGAGGAGGAAGATGAAGAAGAAGACAAGGAAGAAGCAGAGGAAGAAGAGGAACCAGAAGATGAGGAAGAAGTGAAGGGAGACAAGAAAAAAGACAAAAAGAAAGACAAGAAAAAGGATAAAAAGGTAAGTAGTGAAGATAGAATACATGTAGGAGAGGGTCAGAGGTCATACAGTCAGGTAGATGTGATAGTGAGGACAAGACAAAGACATACATGGATGATATCATACCAATGTTATCGTAATATATATGTGATCCTGAGGAGCTGAATCAAGGGCAAGACAACACAATGTATAACAAAATATTTTATTGATGCTGTACATTTATCTTTCTAATGTGGTCTTCTTTTTGTAGGACAAGAAGAAAGACAAGAAGGATAAGAAAAAAGGAAAGAAGAAGAAAGGAGAGGAAGATCAGGAGGAAGAAGAGGAGGAAAAAGAAGAAGATGAAGAAGAGGAGGAGGATCCTAAAGGGAAGAAAAAAGACAAAAAGAAAGGTAAAGGTTACAGAGGCTGCATCATAGAGTCAAGGTTAGTGAGGGAAAAAGAAAGGTAAAGGTTACAGAGGCTGCATCATCAGAGTCAAGGTTAGTGAGGGAAAAAGAAAGATAAAGCTTACAGTTAATCAGAGATTGCATCATCAGAGAAAACTTAATGGTTCACGAGGGCTGCCAAAATTTCTTTTCTTCGAAAAGAATTGTTGAGGAATATTGTTTTGTTCTGTTTAACAGGTCTTTCATGTTTTATTTGTAAGAATTGGTTACCAGTAGATGCAAGTTATATTTTGTCGGAAGCTCCTTGAATAAGCAACAGATTTATAATTGGAGAGGGCTCAATTAAGACACCCCTGGTGCCAAATCCCACCCAGAGTGTTTTTATATATCATATCTGTAAATTGGATGAAATATATTTGTCAGAGAACTTAAACTACATGTTATGAATACATTTTATTTGTGAATATAAAATAAATAAGATATCCCAATGTTCTTTCTCTGAATATACCCGTATTTTGGTGCAGTCAAATTTAAATTTGCCCATTTGTGGTTAGGATGAAAGGGGAGGAAATAACATGGGAGGGGGGCAAAATTTCCCTGTTTACTGTGTATGAAGTGTGTGTAAGCACTGTTAATATTTTACAGACAAGAAGGACAAAGATAAGAAGAAAGATAAAAAGAAGGATAAAAAAGACAAGAAGAAGAAAAAGAAAGGTGAAGAAGAGGAGGAGGAAAATGAAGAAGACAAAGAGGAAATAGAGGAGGAAGGGAGGAAGAGTGGAGAGGAAGAAGAGGTAACAGTAAATACTGATAGTGTGGTAACTGAGTCATGTGGTTACTTTATTCCAGCTCCCTCCCTATGGCCAGTCTAAGGGGATTCATGTCTCTATCATTGTTACCGAAAATGAATGCAATCGCTAAAGAAGATGTAATTGCTAATGTTGACAATGTGTTTAATAAACCATATGGTCACTATGATTATTTTAAATGACATTTCATTCTACCCATTTAATTTGAAAACATCTAATGAAAATAATTTTCAATATTTAGTTTTAAAAAATGTTCATAGTTAAATGTATATTTTTTTTTCTTTTTTAGAAAGAGGATGAGGAGAAAGATGGAGAGAAAGAAGAAAAGAATGAAGAAGAAAAGAAAGAGAAAGAAGCAGCCAATAAACCCCCGGAAAAGAAGGTACAGAGACACGGGCTCAGCTGATATTAAACTGAGGGGTTTTGCTAATAGCACTGGCTATAAAGCTATAGTAAAAATAAATTTCACAACTAATGCCATTAGAACAACATTTAAATAGGCTAGGTTTCACTACAAGTGTTAAATTGTTTTTGTCTTTTTTGCAGTCAAGAACTTGTACGATATTATGACGAAAAAATGTGCAGCCTTTTATGAAAGCTTTGCAAAGAGGGAAAGCTGTCTAATCCTGCAGGTAGCTGAATGATAGCTGAGAAACTGATGAAAGAAGACAGGAAATGCTGTAACTGACATTGCATAGAACGAAACTGAATCTAACGAAACTAGAGGGGTAATAGACAACAAAACTTAGCTCTACTGGAGTTGTGATATTTATATTATTTACATGTTTATATGGACTTATTTATTAGCTTTTATTTTATTTTAAATGTTAGTTCTAAGTCTGTGAAGTTGAACAAGTCCAACCCTGTTTTACTTAATATCTGAGATGCGTCAAAATTCCTTAGTAATGAAAAAAATCTTAATCATGTAGGCAGAGTTTCATAGGTAGAATGAATTACATGTATAGCTATTCCTAATATATATCAATTAGGGAAATGTGATCCGAAATTTTTGCACTAAATCATCTTGGTGATTTTGTTTGAAATTAATGATAATTATGATAAAATTAATTTCAACATTGATTGTATAGTTATAATATATAATCAACATAGGACCTGATGACTTGGAATTTATTTTTATTTATTTATACCTTTTTTTATGGTTTACAGAGCTTATCTTTGGAATCTCTGGTGATGTGTCACGTGGCATTCACTTTAGTCCGTCCATTAATTTCTGACATTAAAATTAATCCTCCATAATATTTGTATTTTATTATTAGATTGTGCTGTATTAAATACTTTTGAGTGAAATATTAGGCTCTGAAAATTCGGCATAATTCATAATTTTTAAGATAGATCTATATAATTTATCATTTTGGGTATTTTTTTTTTATCCTTCATGTATACCAGTTCCCTCCAATATTAAGTTCATGACACCATTCTTGGAACTGTTGATAACGTGGAATGTAATGTGTTTTTGATGATCTTTTGTGCTTGAACCAATGAAATCAGGGATTACATAGGATGTTTTGGTTCTTATTAAACAGACTTGATGAAATACCAGCACAAAATTATTTTCTTGAAGGAATTATTTTTAGCTCACCTGAGCCGAAGGCTCAAGTGAGCTTTTCTGATCACATTTTGTCCGGCGTCCGTCTGTCTGTCCGTCTGTCTAGCTGTCCGTCTGTCTGTCTGTCTGTCTGTAAACTTTTCACATTTTCGACTTCTTCTCAAGAACCCCTGGGCCAATTTCAATCAAACTTGCCACAAAGCATCCTTGGGTGAAGGGGATTCAAGTTTGTTCAAATGAAGGGCCACGCCCTCATTCAAGGGGAGATAATTGGCAATTAATGAAAATTTGGTGGCATGTTTTAAAAATCTTCTTCTCAAGAACCACTGTGCCAGGAAAGATGAAACTTATGGGGAAACATCCTCAGGTAGTGTAGATTCAAGTTTGTTCAAATCATGACCCCCTGGGGTAGGGCGGGGCCAAAATGGCCAACCAAAGTTTTTCATAGAAATATATAGGAAAATTCTTTAAAAATCTTCTTCTTAAGAATGACCAAGCCATAATTCATCATATTTATATGGATCCTCAGGTAGTGTAGATTCAAGTTTGTTCAAATCATGACCCCCGGGGGTAGGGCGGGGCCAAAATGGCCGACCAAAGTTTTACATAGAAATATATAGGAAAATTCTTTAAAAATCTTCTTCTTAAGAATGACCAAGCCATAATTCATCATATTTATATGGAAACATCCTCAGGTAGTGTAGATTCAAGTTTGTTCAAATCATGACCCCCTGGGGTAGGGCGGGGCCAAAATGGCCGACCAAAGTTTTACATAGAAATATATAGGAAGATTCTTTAAAAATCTTCTTCTCAAGAATGACCAAGCCATAATTCATCTTATTAATATGGAAACATCCTCAGGTAGTGTAGATTCAAGTTTGTTCAAATCATGACCCCCTGGGGTAGGGCGGGGCCAAAATGGCCAACCAAAGTTTTATTTAGAAATATATAGGAAAATTCTTTAAAAATCTTCTTCTCAAGAATGACAGAGCCATAATTCATCATATTTATATGGAAGCATCCTCAGGTAGTGTAGATTCAAGTTTGTTCAAATCATGACCCCCGGGGGTAGGGCGGGGCCAAAATGGCCGACCAAAGTTTTACATAGAAATATATAATATAGGAAAATACTTTAAAAATCATCTTCTCAAGAATGACCAAGCCATAATTCATCATATTAATATGGAAGCATCCTCAGGTAGTGTAGATTCAAGTTTGCTCAAATCATGACCCCCGGGGGTAGGGCGGGGCCAAAATGGCCGACCAAAGGTTTACATGGAAATATATAGGAAAATTCTTTAAAAATCTTCTTCTCAAGAATGACAGAGCCATAATTCATCATATTTATATGGAAGCATCCTCAGGTAGTGTAGATTCAAGTTTGTTCAAATCATGACCCCCGGGGGAAGGGCGGGGCCAAAATGGCCAACCAAAGTTTTACATAGAAATATATTGGAAAATTCTTTAAAAGTCATCTTCTCAAGAATGACCAAGCCATAATTCATAATATTTATATGGAAGCATCCTCAGGTAGTGTAGATTCAAGTTTGTTCAAATCATGACCCCCGGGGGTAGGGCGGGGCCATAATGGCTGGCCAAAGTTTTACATAGAGGTATATAGGAAAATTCTTTAAAAATCTTCTCAAAGATAGAAAATCCATGATTGTTTATGGGACTACTTTTGGATTTTACCTTTTCAATAATACTTTTACAAAACCACAGTGCTCAGGTGAGCGATGTGGCCCATGGGCCTCTTGTTTTAAAATAATGTTTCGAATTTCAACTTCTGAAATAGGAATTATGCTGGGATCAGCACTGACATTAGCTTACCTATAAGCATGACAAGGGTTAAATACATATTAATTTAAATGACCTTTTTAAACGTGTGTAAAAAAAGATACAATACTATGTAATTGGTTGTATAATGAAAAAAAGGTTGATTACTTGAGTGCTCTGATTTTGGTGCCTCAATGACAATATTATGTTTCAGATTTACTTATTGTTGCCTTGAATCAGCAGCTAGTTGTATTACAAATGACTTCTCACACTTAAAACTGATTTAGTTTAGTTTTATACATTTTTCATGTACAAATTACTGTATGTGTTATACATGCCTGCAAGTTGGATTTTCAGTGATGGAGAATAAAAAAGAAATGATGATATTAATTCTGCCTGACTATTCATGGATTTTAAGGTAGGATTCTTCTCTGGTTAATTCTGACTAAATGGAATATGTAAAGTACAATTGTTGATATGTCTTATATATTTAGATGAAAGAGATTTAAAAGACCATATTCTCTTTCCTCATCACAATTGTACAACTTTAAATAGAAATTGTAAATTGTTCGAAAATTAGCAGGGACTATATTTTTGGCGGAATTGTGGCATATGAAAATATCTTCTTCTCTGTCTCTCAAAATTATTATAGAACACTGAATTTAGTTATACTTTTTATGCAATCAAAGACTAGACGGAATTTTCAAATGTAAGTTAAATTAATAATAAGGGACTAACGTTTCAAAATATATCCAATAAATAAGATTTTTCACACATACTAGAACTATGTTTGCTTTTAAATGCTTCAAATCTAGGTACAGATTTGATCCAAAAATCCGTATAAAGTGTTATTTCTCTCTTAATAAACGATCAAAACTTTCAGTTTTTGTATCATTTTGTATCTTTATGTGAAAACTTTACTATATGTTAAAAATGGAAAAAGTTAAATATAGGAAGCATATAAAAATAACTAATATATCCCAAAAAATTAAGAAAATTAGAGGAAATTCGGATTAGCAAATATCCATTTTATTTAAATTATCCATGTCAATTTGGTAATATCATCTTATAGGCCCTATATGGTAGTATCTTTTCATGCAAAAAGAAAAACATTCAATCTTTTGAATTACAAGTAGTAATTACATGATTGGAAACAGTAATTTGTTATTCTTAATGTCCAGGAAAAAGGTAATGACCTTGACCTGACCTTGCCTCTAATATTAAACGGTCAAATTTAATCTCACTGATACCATCACTTAGTGATATTGTCCTCTTGATTCTGTGAAAATTTCATTAATTTTTAAATACAGGAAGTGTGAGAAGAATCCTACCTTAATGCTTGGTGTACATATTTGTTGATGCGTGTATTCACAACATCAAAAACATTTTTGTCAAAGCAAGTGCCCTTACCATCAAGAAAAAATCTTTTTTATTTTGTTTATAATAGATTTTGTTGAACATGAAAATGACTTGCAGTTAATTCCTAAAAAATTAACCATAATGTATATTTCTTTTACTCTTTTTTATTATACATGGTTAATGAAAAAATTATGAACAGTAGCATTTGTTTCCTTTCCATTATCACCTTTTTAAAATCGGGAAATGCTTTGGAGCCTTGGAAGGTGGGGAAAGGGGGGGGGGGGGGGGGAGGAAAGAGAAACCAAATATAAAGGCTAATGTGGATTACCACATATTGCCTGCTTTTGGGTAAATATGAGTACATGTATGATGTACAACGTAATAATGTCTAATTAAGATATTGTGATGTACATGTAGGATATGTAGTGTAGTATAACAATAAATGTGATACTGGAAAATGAAAGCTAGAATATGAAATAGTGGCATATGATTGTAATTAAAATTTAGATAGAAAGATATTAGTTTAAAGAACTATTCATGTGTATGTGAGAGAGAGAGGAGAGGAAAGAAAGAGGGCACAATTGGCATCATTTCAGCTGATAGAAGATACATGTATAAGTTTTATTACCAATATTCATAAGAAATAAATGATATATTCAGATTTAAAAAGTTTTTATTAATTTTTTTATGATAGCTGATGTAAAGTTAAGTTAAAATTATGTATGATTATGTGAAACTGTTGCAGATTTCATTAATATCTATTAAATTGTTTTATACTATAAATGTTTGTCGTAGTTTGACTTTGAGGGAGATGTCAAGGAAGGCATAAGACCAATAAAAGCCAGGAGTGACCAACTGTAGACAATGGACTAATAGCTAATTTTGGGAAGTACGTGTGTACCGATGGCCAACTATAGGCACTCCATGGTTTAGTCACTCTGGTTAAGATCATGATGGGCACTGGTTGCCAACTGTAGACACTTGACTAGTGGCTTATTGAATGACGAGTACTGGTGGTCAAGACAACTGTAGACACTTGACTAGTGGCTAATTCTGTAATGATTTCTGGGGACCAACTGTAGGCAATGGACTTGAAGCTTATTTTGATGTTTGTAATATTTGGGCATAAAATACGGTCAGATGATAAATAATCCTGTCCAGCTGTAGACATTGGACATTGTATGTGATGGATAATATTTAACAGCCGTGGACAGTGGACTTTTATGTTGTCCTTGAATCTTTGCTGTTCCCAAACATAGATAAGATCACCTTGTTGTATGCTCTAGTGTAAAGCTTAACATCGTTATCTCCCAGTGCATTAGCTTGCTGAGTCTTCAAAACATTTCTGTCCACCTAATGACTGATAAGCGGCTGGAATCTTGGAGTCGACTGACATAATTGTCAAAGATTTTTACCTTCACCTGTATTAGATGGACGAAATACTAAATATGCGACCAAGCATATTGTTCGGCTTTGTAGGGGCACGCATTCCACCCACTTGTTGAATTGATCAACCATCACAAGTATATTGGTGTTTCGAGATGTTGATTCGGGAAATGGAAAAGTCTAGATGCAGGCTTTACATCGGTGCTCCTGAGTGTTACATGTACTTGATAATACGTTGTCGATATCTAAAATGTCGAGGTGAAGGTCTCAGCAAGTATAAGAACCTTTTTCTCATGTGTAAGATTTTAGATCTTGTGAAAGCATTAATTTTTCGTGGGGTTTAATTTTCGTTGTTTTCCATGTATGAAGAGACCCCTAAATTCATGATCACAATGAAAAGTAAAATGACATATACATGACTCACAACAACACTACAGCCATGAAATAAATCCCCACCAACCCGTGGCCGGGTTTTCCTCAAACCACGAAAATGTG